AATCCCTGTAGCCATTGTTAGTCTGTTTAGATTTTCTGTTTCTTCATTACTTATTCTTGGTAGGTTTCATGTTTCTAGGAATTTATCCATTGCTTTTGGGTTATCCAATTTGTTGATATATAGTTGTTCATAGTAGTTTCTTATGATTCTTTGTATTTCTGTGGGGTCACGTGTAATGTCTTCTCTTTCATTTATAAGTTTATTTTCCTCTTTTTTTCTTGATTGATCTAGCTAAAGGCTTATTTTGTTTATCCCTCCAAAAATAAATATGGCTCTTAGTTTTATTGATTTTTTCAATAAAAAAATAAAAAATCTCTGTAATCTTTATTTCAGTTATTTCCTCCCTGATTTTTATAATTTCCTTTTTTTCCCTGTTAATTCGGGCTTAGTTTGTTCTTTTTCTAATTCCTTTTGGTGTAAAATGGTTGTTTATTTGAGATCTTTCTTTTTTCTTAATTTAGGCATTTGTGGCTATAAACTTTCCTTGTAAAACTGCTTTTCCTACCTCCCATAAGTTTTGGTGTGTCTTATTTTCATTTACATTTGTCTCAAGATACTTTATGATTTTCCTTTTGGTTTCTTCTCTTATCCATTGGTTGTTCAGGATTGTTTGTGTGTTTTTCTTTCTTTTAAAAATTTTTAAGTTTATTTATTTATTTTGAGGCAGAGAGCAGGGAAGGGGTAGAGAGGGAGAGAGAGAGAAAATCCTAGGTGGTACAGAGCCCAATGTGGGGTTCAAACCCACAAACCATGAGATCATGACCTGCGCTGAAATCAAGAATCAGATGCTTACTGACAGCCATCCAGGCACCCTACAATTTTGCATTGTTTAAATTCCATTTTAGTGAATTTTTCAGCTTTCCTCCTGTTACTGATTTTTAGTGTAATACCACTGTGGTCAGAAAAGGTACTATAAATTGTTTCAATATTCTTGCTTTGTGTTCCAACATATGATATATCCTGGAGAATGTTTTGTATGCCCTTGAAAAAAGATGTGTATTCCGGTCTCTTGAATGTAATGTTCTTTATATGTCTGTCAGGTCCATTTGGGCTGTAGTGTTATTTAGGTCCACTATTTCCTTCTTAATTCTGTGTGGATGATTTCTCTAATGTTGAAAGTGGGGTGTTTAAGTGCCTTATTATTATTGTGTTCCCTTCTATTTTACCCTCCAGTTCTGATAATATTTGCTTTAAATATTTAGGTGCTTCGGTGATGGTACATACATATTTATAACTGTTATATCCTCTTGATGAATTGACCCCTTTATTACTATATTGTGACTTTTTCCTTTTGCCACTGATTTTGAATAAAAGTCTGTTTTATCTGACATCAGTATATTTTGGGTTACCATTTTCATGGAATGTCCTTTATCATCCCTTCAATTTCAGCCTATGTATATCTGTAAAGCTAAAGAGAGTCTTTTGCAGACCACATATCATTGGATCTTGTTTCTTATCCATTTAGGCACTTTGTGTCTTTTGATTGGAGAATTCGTTTATTTACATTTAAATAATAGATAGGTAAGTACTTGATATTGCCATTTTAAAAATTATTTTCTGAATTTTTAATTCCTTTGTTCCTTTGTTCTTTTTTTCTCTCTTAATTTGTGTTATTTATATATATATATATATATATATATTTATGTACTTTAATTCCTTTCATTTTATCTTTTATGTAACAATTATAGATTTTTTTTTCTTTTTGGTTACTATAAGGCTTATATAAAACATCTTAGAGATATAATAGTCTAAGCTGATAACAGCTCACTTTCAATCATGTACAAAAACTCTACACTTTTATTTCACCTTCCCCAACAATTTATGGAATTGTCACATTTTACATCTTTATATATTGTGCATCCATTAACAAATTATTGTAGCTACAGTTCTTTAAATAGTATCCTTAGTTTTTATAATAGAGATAAAAGTGATTTATATACCACCATTAAAATACTAGGGTATTCTGAATTTATGTATTTATTTACTCTTTATAGTGAGTTTTATACTTTTATGTTTTTATGTTGTTACATAATGTCCTTTCATTTCAGCTTGAATCCCCTTTCATGTTTTATTAACAGCAAGTTTAGTGGTAATGAACTCCCTTAGCCATTGTTTGTTTGGGAATGTCTTTATTGTTCCTTCATTTCTGAAGGACTGTTTGGCTGGGTGTAGTATTCTTGGTTGGCAGATTTTTTTCTGTCACTACTTTGAATATAATATCCCACTACCTCCTGGCCTGCAAGATTTCTGCAGAGAAATCTACTGATAGACTTATGTGAGTTCCTTTGTATGTGACAAGTTGCTTTTCTATTGTTGCTTTCAAAATTATCTCCTTGTCTTTGACTTTAAACGTTTGATTATAATTTTTCTGAGTAATTTCTGGGTTGATCTTGCTTGGGTTCCTTAAAAAAATTTTTTTAAAAAATATTTGTTTATTTTTGAGAGACTGAATGCGAGCACGGGAGGGCAGAGAGAGTGGGAGACACAGAATTTGAAGCAGGCTGCAGGCTCTGAGGTGTCAGCATGGTGCCTGACATGCAACTTGAACTCACAAACTGTGAGATCATGACCTGAACTGAAGTCAGATGCTTAACTGACTGAGCCACCCAAGTGCCCCATGAGTTCCTTTGAACTTCCTGTACCTGGATATCTACGTCTTTTCCACAGTTTGAGAAGTTTTCAGCTATTTTCCTTAAATAATCTCTCTGCTTCTTTCTCTTCCTTCTCTGGGACTCTCATGATACAAATACCAACTTGCTTGATGGTATCCCATAATTTACTTAGACTTTCTTCACTCTTTTTTTGTTCTTCTGTCTAATTTCAGATGATTTATCTTTGAGTTTGCTAATCCTTTTGTGTGATCAGTCCTGTTATTGAAGTTATGTTCTAAATTTTTCATTTCTGGCATTGTATTCTTGAGCTCTAGGATTTCTGTTTGGTTCTTTTTTTATAGTTTCTGTTTATTAAATGTATTTTGTTCATGAATTGTTTTTCTGATTTTGTTTAGTTGTGTTCCTTTTGCATTTTCATTCACTTTTTAAAAAGATGATTATTTTGAATTCTTTTCTGGGTAAATCATAGATTTCCATTTTTGGGGGGTCTGTTACTGGAGTGCTATCAGTGCTCTTTGGTGGTGTCATATATATTTAATTCTTCATGATCTATGTTGCCTTGCATTGGTGTCTGTGCATTTGTAGGAGCAAATGCCTCTTTCAGTTTTTATAGAATGGAAGGTAAAGGCCTTCTCTTGTCTGTTCCTTGGACTGATAGTATTACTTCTAGAATCACAGTTGTGCTGGGTTGGAGCTGGTTACAAGGCTGTCACTGGATCTGCGGTAGAGTCTGTGGTTGGGCTTGTTACCAGGGCTTAGGCCAGTGTGGATCATTTCTGGTCCCTGGGTGCATACTACTGCCTGTAGTACTTTGTTAGTAGGGTGGTACTGGACAAGGCTTCACGTGTGGCTCCTGTTATCAGGTAAATAGACAGTGGGCTTATTATCAGGTAGATGGTGGGTGTGGCTCCCATCAGATCCCTGGGAGAACTGCTGCCTCCTTACTTGATGGCTCCCTAGTTAGGCAGGATTGACCCTAGACTGTACCTAAGAGGTTCTGGAACTGAGCCTCAGGGCTGTTTTACAATCCACAAGAAAGATTAGGATTCTCAGACTGGCTCTGTGGACAGAGATGGGCATGTCTCCCTCCAGGTCACTGAATAGGCTGAATTGGTCCCTGATCATGGCTTAAGGAGCTCAAGTTGAGTATAGGGACCTTTCAGGATCTTTTGGAGTACAGTTGTAGCTCTTACCAAGCCCCTGTGCCTGTAGGACAGCTCATGGATTGAGGCTGGAGGTGTCTCCTGTCAGGTCCCTGTGGCAGCAGGACTATTCACAGGCTGCAGTTGGAGGGGTTGGAACTGAATATAGGGCCCTTTCAGAGTTATCAGGATTGCAGGTAAGAATGTTTCCCACTGGGACCCTGGACCTTCAGGATTGTTGGCTGGCTGTGACCGTGAGGAGGCTGGGATCATGTATAGGCCCTTTTAGGATCATTGGGAGGACAGATGGGAGTGACGACAGCCTGGACCTCTTGCCAGCAGGCCTACTTGTGGACTGTGACTGGAAGGGGCCCAGAGTAGAATATAGGGCTCTTTCCAGATCTTCAGATGCATAGATGGTAGTATCCTCCACTGGGACCCTGGACCCTCAGGACTGCTGGCCGACTGTCAGACTGTTGCTGTGAGGAAGATAGATCCCTTTCAGGATCTCTAGGGGTACAGACAAGAGTGTCTCCAACAGGGTCACTGTGCCAGCAAGATTGTTCCTAGACTGTGGCTGAGAAGGTCTAGAGCCTAGTTACAAGGTTGTTTAAGAATCTATGGTCTGCTTGAATTTGGTGGGCTTACTTCCAATGGCTCCTGCACTGTACCCAAGAGGAGCTAGAGCTGGTTCAAAGACCACTTCCAGTCCACAACTGATGTAAGGTCTGTATGACTACCACCTGATTTGGGTAGGAGTGACTCTTCCAGGTCTCTTGGCATATAGCAAATTCTGGTGACCCCAAGTTGAATGGGGGCTGTAGCTGAGTTCTGAGGGGGGGGTGCAGAGCTATTTCTATTTCTGTAGTTGAGACTACAGTCAGTAAATCAGTTGCCTGGAGTAAGCCTGCCTTCTCAAAACAACTCTTTTCATTCTTGGACTGCACTGGGGTTTTGCAGCCTCCTATATGGATCTGGAAGCTCCCAGGAAGGCACTTTTGTCTGTGCATGGATGCCAAGTTGTTGTCAAGAAGGGCATTTGTGCAAGAGATGTCCTATTTGGCCATTTTGTTGTCCTGTGTTACATAATGTTATTTGCATCAACTAAGATATTTTGACTCTTTATTTACAAAAATCAGGATAACTTAAAAGCAAAACATTAGATGCTAAGTAAGTTAGTTTTTTCTTTACTAATTAATACTAGTACTAAGTGAAATCTTAGAATCCTTGACATTTATTATATTAGACTCGGGAGACCTGGAGTTGATTGTTATTGCCAACATGAAAGTGGTGCAGCAGTCCTGCAGCTCCAGTTCTTGATCAATGAGGTAAGGATTTTCTTGACTATCACAGAGGCATACACATATGCACTGCATTAGTTGATGTGATCTTTTTAATATTATGATATATAAAAATATATTATTTTTATTTAAATATGTTATATTTTGTATATTCTAAATGCTTAAAGATATATATGTGTGAAATATTATTCATGGTCACATTTCTTAAAAAAGAATATTTCAGTGCTCACTTTGGCAGCACACATACTAAAACTGGAATGATACAGAGAAAGATTAGCATGGCCCCTGTGCAAAGATGACATGCAAATTTGTAAAAGACTATTTTAGTATTTGTCAATTTATTAGATTGTAAAGGAAAAAGGTCGTACCAGAAGAATGTTATTGTTATTCAGCATAATTTACAGATTATTTAATTTTTTTAAACTTACTAAAACCAATTGCTTCCTTGATCACTAAATTTTTTCTGCATGCCAACTTAAATTTTATAATCCAGCACAAACTTCATGTTTTGCCTTTATCTTTCATGAAATAATCTTTTCAGTTATTTACCTATGGGTTCTGCTATCTATATATTTATACATATTTGTTGGTATATGTATGCATTTGTATTTATTTGTATATCCATAGGTATTATGACCATTGACTCCCTACTCCATCCCTGTTTTTATAGACCTATGGTGATAAAGAGCCTCCTAAAGACAAAGTATGTAATTAATTATAAAGCTCAGAAAGGTTGCAGATCTTTCATTAGTTGAAGACTTCTTAAAGCCTTCTGGACTCATATTTTTATTCATATTTTAAGTGGGTCATTGAGTTTTCTAGACCTGTGTTCAATTAAGTGAGCCAGTCAATGCAAAAATGCTTTAAGGATTTGTGCCATACTGGGGTGCCTGGGTGGCTCAGTCGGTTAAGCGTCCAACTCTTTTTTTTTTTAATTAATTTTTTTAACGTTTATTCATTATTGAGAGACGTAGAGCACGAGCATGGGAGGGGCAGAGAGAGGAGACACAGAATCTGAAGCAGGCTCCAGGCTCCAAGCCACCAGCACAGAGCCCCTTGTGGGTTTGAACTCACAAACCGTGAGATCATGACCTGAGCCAAAGTCAGATGCCTAACTGGCTGAGCCACCCAGGCGCCCCTAAGTGTCCAACTCTTGATATCTTCTCAGGTTCTGATCTGGTGGTTGTGAGATTGAACTCTGCATCCGGCTCCATGCTGAGCATGGAGCCTGCTTGGGATTTTCTCTCTCCTTCTCTCTCTGCCTCTTCCCCACTCATGCATGTGCTTTCTTTCTCTCTCTCAAAATAATAATAATAAAAAAAAGCATTTGTGCTGTACTGAATTTAGGCACATAGCAGACTGAACTCAGTGCCTTGAGAAAAAGAAAATGAATTATTGCTGATTGTTTCCTTATGACATGAATGATGATTTTATTCACTATCTCCATATATTTACCTATATTTTTCCTAAAAATTTTATAATAATAAACGTGGGTAAAATGGTTCATAGAGCTTTGTATCAGAGATAGTTAAGGCATGAAAAATTTGTGATGTTGGCAAATGTCCACCCTTTACTTCTTTTGGCTGAAAATCTTTCTCAGAAGATTGACAAACCTAGCATATTTTACCTTATAGTTATATTTACTATGGGATACCACAATGAGAGAGGGAGATAAAGAAGAAAAGGGAAAATTTTTAAAAACATTTTATTATAATACTTGTCACTAGTATTTAGAATGCCAAACTTTTTGAAGTCTCAATGTTACTCTGTAAGTCTTAGTAGAGTGATCTCAGCCTTTTGCCTTCTGCATGGCTGTTCACTAGCAGGTATAACTTGTTTCTAGGTGATTTTCTCTCATTTTGATCCTCTGAGAATCATCTTGAAATCCTTAGGTTTACTTCTGTGCTGTATAACTAAGTAAAAAGAAAGCCTTTAACATCCTTCAGTTTCCATCATCTAACCAGAACTAGTCACCCTGATCCATCTTACACTCAGCTCTTTTACCTTTTTCCAAACTTCCTAGTCTGACCTCATGGCTGGTGTTTTTATTTGTTTTTAATCTTTTCACAAATTTTTATTACTTGTGCTTCTTACAGATTCACTTTGCTTTTATAAATAAGTCCTAGACACCTGCTGATGTGCTTACTTTCTTATGTGTCTTATAATCTTTATTGGTGGTGTTATGCTCAGTGGTACTGTTCATGTCCCTCCAAAATGATAAATTGTTTCCTATTTTTGTCATAGAATTAATAATTCTATGACTTCCTTCTTAGATTTATTTGGCTATTAAACTGATGTTGAACATATGTTGCTTTATTTTAATTCCATTGCCTTTGGCATATTGTATCTTTTGTATAGCACATAACTATTTATAGAATTTTTATTAATTTCATGTATCATGTTCTATCCCCACCCTAGTCTAAGTGAATTTCCATTGTCCTTAGAAAGGAGATCAACATCCTATATCTAAAAAATTAGCCTATCAACACTGGCAAGCAATCCTAGTAACATTCCAGTTTGTATATAAGAAACATTTGGGGACAGTTTATACATAAAACAAGCAAACAAACATAAAAATCCTCAAGGCCTGTATACAGTACATTTTATTGCATGGAATGTAATTACGGGTTCATGTTAAAGATATATATATGAGTGTATACTTTTAATCATGTGTATTTATATACTAATATATAAATGTGCAAATTATATACATTTTAAACATATTTTAATGGATATACTCTTGGATTATGATTGATGTTTTAAAAGCTATTCTTTGAGCCTGAAATCACAGGTATACAATATGAGGAGAAGCATGATAGGATACATGAGCATTTTTGTCTTAGGAATCTAAATGTTCTTCTATAACAATTTCTATCTTCTCTTTTTTAATCCCTAATGAAGAAATAAATTCTGGGAATTTCATTATAGTTAATCTGATCATCTAAATGGGATAATCATATTGATATCTGCAGTTGATATTATAAACTATGAAAGGTTACTTGTAACAGAGTACTTTGGAAAATATGAAAAGAATTTTAGATATCTCAGGGTATGATGATTCTGCAAGATCTGGCATTTTCAGCTGGGAAACCTATAATGGTAAAACTTCTGACATAGTTTAAGATGTTCCTAGCTCACGTAAATAGTTTAAGCATACATATCCATGAAATCATACATGGCAGCTAGTTATCTGCCCTTATGGTATCTGCCATATTAAAAGGTAGAAAACATACTAGTGTATTTGAAATATAATTTATTTGTATTTGGACATAATGTAAAAAAAATCTTTGTATTATTTTTGTAGTTATACTGAATTCTAATTGGAGAAATGTTTTCTTTTATTAAAGGTGTTTTCTTTTATCACAGATGAAGCTTCTTGAAACCAGTTAATTCTTGAAAATAAATTATACCACATGTACTTTTTAGAAAATATATATAATTTACAACTGTACAGAGAATCTTTACAAATGGTGAATAAAATATAAATATAAAATATAAAATATGACCAGATTGCAATTTTAAAACTTGGTTGGATATTTTCTTTTCTGGAAAGCTACATAGTATGTATGCAAATAGTAGAAGTGAGAAAATTAAACCTAGTTTTTCCCAAAGAAAATATAAAAAATTTTTTTCTAAGGTTTTTTTAGTGTTTATTTACTTTGAGAGAGAGAGAGCATGAGCAGGAGAGGAGCAGAAAGAGAAGGAGAGAGAGAATCCCAAGTAGGCTCTGCACTGTCAGCACAGAGCCTGATGTGGGGCTCAATCCCATGACTGCAAGATCATGACCTGAGCCAAAATCAAGAGTTGGACACTTACCTGAATGAGCTACCCAGGTGCCCCTACAAAAAATTTTTAATATCCATAACGATGCTACAATAATTATTTCTCTCCAGTGGCAAATGCATATTCCTTGAGCTAGTCATCCTGACTAGCAGTAGTTCACTTGCTTCTTCTATTCAGCATTCTTAGCCCTCCTGATTGAAGTATGTACAATAGTTTTCTTTACATTTCTAGGTTATATAGATACAAGTAACTCTTAAAGTAGTGTAAAATATAGCAAATCAGCTTGTTGGTTTTGCCTAACAAAAAACAAACTCACTGACTTACTTTGTCTTCTTTTTGTTTCAGGGTGCCTTGGTTAGTGCGAGTTCAGATGATACACTTCATTTGTGGAACCTTAGACAAAAAAGGCCAGCTATTCTTCATTCTCTTAAATTTAATCGAGAACGGTAAGAATGTTTGAGTTAAACAATTTCTTAATGTATGAAAAAAATATTTCCTGAGAAGGAAGGTTAGGTTTCAAGGTTAACCTTGAAAGACTATTTTTTTCATAATCTTAATATCTAGAAATAACTTAATGTTAGCCTTGTTTTTATAGTTTATTTCATAGAAAATTCATAACTGATATAGATTTAATCATCTACTAATGGGGAACTCCTAACATTTTTATTCTCACTGTAAACTGGCACTACAACAATGATGTGTTCTTTCCCCTAGGCCAGGGTGCTGAAAACGCCCTAAAATTTGAAAGTCAAGTAAATACTAAATGTATTTTTATACTTTTTGATCATGGCAATTGTGTCTTACATTTTCAGTCTTTTGCTTAAATATTTTTACATGAAAAAAATAGCAGGAGAAAGTTTTAGATTCCAAAAATATTTGTTGAGCAGTACTACACATTCAAGCTAAATGTTTTCAAAAATGACAATTTGATCAGAATTTAGATTCCCTCATTTTGGAATGAAATATTAATAATGAGAAAGAAAATTGAATGGAAATGGGAAAAATTAATAGGTTTTATATCTAACTACCAAATTTTAATGTTTCTAATGTTGTATTCAATTAGTCCTAGAACATAATTCACATCTACTCAATTGATAATCCACCTGGAGATAAAGTAAAATTTGTATTTCTTTATCTGTCTCTGTAATTTAACTATAAAATAACCTGATATTTGTTTATTATTTGGAAAACAATCTAACTCTTTGCAGTGAATGAGAAGGGCCTTCACAGGAAAATTTGATGTTAATGAAAGGAAAAGAAACCCCTGAGAAGTAAATTTACACAGATTAGCAAGTACTGTTCAAATTGAGGTAGGTGAATAATGGAGGCAGGCAGTCATTGCTGAGAATTCAAGATAGTACTTACATTGTTGAATAGTAATACTTTAATATGTAATCATCACTATATGGGCAGAGCTTAATGAAGTGAATCTGTTTTTATAGCTATGTGAGAAAATAGGATGGCAGTTATGCAGACATTTTTTTTTTTTTTTTTTTTTTTTACCTGAAGCTTTTTCTTTTTCTGTTTGGGTGCATACTATACTATTTAAATAATTAATCCTCAATATTCTGAGTAATATTCATGAGTATTATTTCTACAGTATTTTAGGATTTGGCATCAATGGAAATTTTTATTATACTTAGTATATTTTGAGAGGAGAGAATATATATTTTAGATGTTTGCTAAAACTAGATAGAATTTATTTAGATCTAATTTTGGTTATATTATCTTAAATTTTAAAGTAATACAACAGAAGTTTCAGGATATTGAAAAATTTAAAGATCAGTCAAGAGTTGTTATACTATTCCTGTTTTTTACCACTAAAAATATCATGTACTCAGATATTGACATACTGATTTTTTCTCTTTCACTGTTTGTAAGATTTTGTTTGTTTTTTGAATGGACTGAGTAGATCTGGCCCTACACTTCTGTGTAGATGGACAGAATAGGCTTTCCCCCCTTACAGTTGGAATGTTGAAGGAAATGTTCTGGCTCCTTTCATGGCCCTTTGTGGAGTGGGGGAAAGAAATGATGGTGATGATTTCCAATTATACTTTTATTATCTCAACTGAAGTACATTTAACTGTTAGCTACATAAAAGAGCAAGCCGGCAGATTTTGGATAAGTTTAAATCATAGGAATTGTATAGGTACTGCTTATTTTAATGCTGACAAAAATGTGATATCTATGTGGTTGACAAAGATAAATTCATCATCTTGAATTTGAAAATAAATTATCTTGACTTGAAATAATCATTAACTATCACATTCTCTTGTATAGGGGGGAAATATTTTTAAACTTATGATAAATAGAAGCCTTAAGTCTGTAAAGGAGAATTTAATCAAGCACTTTTTGGAACTCTAAACCTTCTTAAATTAGTCATTTCACTATGTAAATTTCTATATATTCTTATGCTTATGCCAAATATATATTTAATTTATATATTTTATGCTATAAATTTTAGGTTATTTTTTTTATTAGGGCAACTTCAACCTTTGGTCTTAAAATCTTTGAGGCAGTAACTGTTGAGAAATAGGTTTAGATATTTCAGCTGCTTCTGGGGAATTATCCTTGGATTCCCTTAAAATCTGATTTTAAAGCTAAATATGGAAGAGCAACTGTTTTGATCTCTGTGATGCATGATCTGAAAATGAGTAAAATAAGTCATTTATATTTTAGTCCTTGCTATCACTGATCATAAATTGTACAAAGTTGGGTAAAGCATAGAATTGTTTTATATGGTTCTCAAGTAAAATTCAATAGGTAGACTATGACATAAAGATGTTAAATTATGTATACTTATATCAGAGTTTATTTTTTCTATCTGTGGTGTTCTGATAATTAATATCATCAGAGTACTTCTAAGGAATATTAGCTAAGTTGCAGGGAAGTAATATTTTAAGAACCCTATAATTTATGAAATATCTAGCAAACTTGATCCATCAGAGTTGGCTTTTGGGGAAGTTTGTACCCCCAATTTGAAAGGTAGTATTGCATTATAAAGGTAATTTGAATTCTGTTTATTTAAGAATTTTCTTGAATAATTCATATTTAGCTGGATTAACATTCAAAAGATGTAAGTTGTATATACAATGAAGGATCTTTCTTCCACTCTTCTTCCTTGGACATTTAGTTCCCCTCAGTAGAGGCAAGCAATGTTACTTATTAATTTATTATATCTTTCCAGAGCTTCATTATGTACATATATAGGCAAATACATGTAACATAATTTTCTTCCTTATGTATATATAAGCAAATATGAAAATACATATTTTTGTTACACAAATTATAGCATGTTTTACACTTTTGTACTTTTTTCACTCTCTTTATAATTTATTCTAAAGATTATTCCTTATTAGTACATAAAAAGCTTCCTTATTCTATTTTATTTTACTTACTCTTTTGGTATGTGTGTAAATGTTACCAAATCAAGGAACTGTGTAGGGGTGCCTGGCTGGCTCAGTTGGTGAAGCATGTGACTCTTGATCTCAGTGTTGTGGGTTCGAGCCCCCTGTTGGGTGTAGAGATTATTTAAAAATAAAATCTTTAAACAAACACACATATTGGGGTGCCTGCATGGCTCAGTGGGTTAAGCATCCCACTCTTGATTTTGACTCAGGTCATGATCTCATGGTTGGTGGGATTGAGCCCCATGTTGGTTTCTGCACTGATAGCATGGAGCCTGCTTGGGATTCTCTCTTTCTCTCTCTTTCTCTCTCTCTCTCTCTGCCTCTCCCCCATTTGTGTGTGTGAGCATGTGCTCTCTCTCTCAAAATAAATAAATGAACATTTTAAAAAGCTACATTAAAAAAATAAACTATGTAAATATTAAGTGTACACATGAAATAATTTTATACCCATGTAACAAACACAAAAATCAAGAAACATAAAATTACTATAACTATGGAAACTACCCCCCCACTCCGTTTTATCTTTCAATCACTAACCCCAGGTATAATACTATCCTGATTTCAAACACTACAGATTAGTTTGCCTGTTCTTTGGGAAGTTATAAATGTGATACCATACGTATACAGTTGTTTATGTATAGCTTCTTTTGCTCAATGTTATATTTGTAATTTCAGCCAGGTTGCATGTAGCTATAGTTTATTACTTTCACTGTTATGTAGTATTCAACTTAGTGAATATTCTTCAGTTTGATTAACCATTCTACTTTAATTCACTTGCTTAAATTTAACTTTTTTATTTCCACTTAAATTTTAGAAATAGCTTGTCAAATTCCACAGATTTCCTGATATTTTGATTTGACGTACTGATCTGAAAAGATATATGGATCCTTATATTCACTGTAACATTTATAATAGCCGAGTTATGAAACACACACACACACACACACACACACACACACACACACACACACAATAGAATATTGCTCAGCCATGAAAAGAAAGAACTCTTACCATTTGTGATAGCATGGATGGACCTAGAGGGTGTTATGCTAAATAAAAATAAGTCAGACAAATACAATATGATATCACTTACATATGAAGTCTAAAAGAGAAAACAAAACAGAAATAGACTCATAAATACAAAGAACAAACTAGTGGTTGCCAGGGAAGGGCAGGGATGGGCCAAATAAGTAAATGAGATTAAGAGGTTCAAACCTCCAGATACACAATAAATAAGAAAAAAAAAAAAGAATTATTTTGAATTTGTAGATTAGTTTGGGGAGAAATAACATATTCCACGAAGATGGGGGATGACAATATTGGTTCATTGTCATGGACAATGACAACATTGATTCATTCAGTTGATGAACAGTGGCATATATTATATCCCTCCATTTCCTTAGGTCTTCTTTGATTTCTCTAAATAACATTTATAAATTCTCTGAGGAGGTCTTCCACATTTTTGTTAGGTTTAGTCATAAACATTTTTTTAAAATTCCAGGATAGTTAGCATATAGTGTAATATTAGTTTTAGGTGTACAATATAGTGATTCAGCAATTGCATACATTACCAAGTGTTCATCACGACAAGTGCACTCCTTAATACCCATCTTCTATTTCAACCATCCCCCTTCCTACCTCCCTTCTGGTAATCATCAGTTATCTATGGTTAAGAATCTATTTCTTAGTTTGTCTTTCTCTTTTTTTCCTTTTGTGCATTTCTTTTGTTTCTTTTTAAAAAAATGTTTACTTATTTATTATGAGACAGAGAGTGAGAGCATGAGTAAGGTAAGGGCAGATAGAGAGAGAGGGAGGGCAAGAGAGAATCCCCCAAGCAGGCTCCATGTTTTCAGCACAGAGCACAATGCAGGGCCCAATTCCATGAACCGTGAGATCATGACCTGAGCCAAAATCAACAATTGGATGCTCAACTGACTGCACCACCCAGGTGCCCTTTATTTGTTTCTTAAATTTCACATTTGAGTGAAATCACATGGTATTTGTCTTCCTCTGACTTATTTCACTTACCATAATAT